GGGTTGCGATCCCGTTACCGGTCACGAAAAAAGACAAAAAGGAAAAAAAAATAATAAATAAATAAATAAAATAAAATAAAAGTTTTATTCATGCTTCTTTTAATCGCAGTACTAATTCCTGTTCCTGAAACATTTTTTCTCTTCTTTTCCTCCTCCTCCTCCTTTGTCTTCCTCTTGGAATACTATGTGTTTCAATGTAATGACAAACTACCTTACTAGCTTAGAATTACTTTTTATATATATTCAGAAAAAATTTAATAGCAAGTTACAAATGAATGTACCTTTTTCTTGTGATGCATCTTTACATATAACCAAGAGGGAATTGAGACAGTAAATGTGAATTAATTAAGCATCAGCAAAGTTTTTTTCATTTAAGTGCTCAGAGGGCTAGCCAAGGGACACTTCATAGAAGAAGTGTGTTTTAAGAGAAAGTACATATATGCACTGGTGAGGAGGTAGGGATCAGAAAAAGTGGAAGTAAAATGTACAAATTATGGATTTAGGAGCTGTATTGGAAGGGAGAATTAATGCTAACAAAAAGTAAGATGTCCATTGCAGGATGGTTAAGCAGGCACTCGGCTGGAGCGGCGGAGGGATGTTGGGGAGTAGTGACTGTTGAAGTTATTGAGATGTGGATTCAGCGTTGCTACCCACATTTTGCCTGGATACTGTGCTACATAGAGGGTAAAGCTAAAGAGGGAAGAGAAACAGTGCTTGGCCTGTAGGAACATATATTCTCGTTAATGAGACAAGGCAACAGGAAGGTAAAGGAGGGGCCTTGAAAGCCTGTAAGAGTGACTTGGATTTTATATGATATGTGATGGAGGGGGCCTCCGGAGAGTCTCATGTATCATCCTGCCTCCGTCATCTGCTCAGGAGGAAGAAGTCTCAGCTGGGAAAGACCAAACTGAGCAGGTGGTTAAGTTTCAAAAATCAATTTTTGTAGCTATATGTAATCAATTAGCAGAAGGGCTTTTCCCCCACACAAAACTATTTTAAATCACTTCAGAAAAATGCACCACCTAAAATCTTCTGTCCACAATTAACATTGAATGGAAAATCACTGGTTTGCTCTTGCAAACAGCACTTAATGTCACTAACTTCGGGCTGTTTTCCAATTTTACAGTCAATTTTTATACTGAAACTAATTTAGGAAGCTATTTAATCCATAGGCTTTTTTAGTGGAAAGATGGTGTGGGTAGACTAGNATCCCCCCACCTCCAGGGAGAGCATTAATCCATTCATAAGGGATCTGCCCCCATGACTCAATCAGTTTCCAACACTGCCACATTTTTTTTTGTCCTTTTTGAGACCGGCCACACCGCGCTCAGCCAGCGAGCGCTGTGAGCGCACCGGTCATCCCTATATAGGATTTGAACCCGCCGCGCGGGAGCGCTGCTGTGCTCCCAGCGCCACACTCTCCCGAGTGTGCCACAGGCTCGGCCCCAACACTGCCACATTGGAGATCAAATTTCCACATGAATTTTGGAGGGGATGACACATCCAAACTCCATCACTGAATTTGTCATGTTGGGGTCTTTCTCACTCAACATCCCGAACTGTCGATATATTATTTCATGATTTAATAATAAACTTCAGCAGTACCTCTTTCAAGAATAATCACTATATACCCACAATAAAATTATATTCCAATAATTTTATTAAAATATGCAGTCTAACAATAGAAATTTATTTTTAAAGTTTTATTCATGGGCCGGCCTGGTGGCGCACTCGGTAGAGTGTGGCACTTAGGAGTGTGGCGGCGCTCCCGCCGAGGGTTCGGATCCCATATAGAGACTGGTCCGCTCACTGGTTGAGCGCGGTGC